TTTGATATCAAACTCACCTGCACAGGTAAACTCCACGAAGGACAAAGACTCAAAAGTCCAAGGTTCCCTAGAGTGAAAAAGAAAACAGCACAGGTCATACAGATGTCAGAGTGCGCTTTGAGAGATGGTGCTTTGGCACAGATCCAGTTTCTGCCATAGGTGGTGCAGGTTGTTGCTGTCCTGTCAGAGCAAGAAGGTTCTAGGTTCAAATCCTGCTGGGCTTCTTTTTTTCTGTGTGGAGTTTGCACTCAGCTACTCTGGAGTGGAAGATTCTAGGTTGGTCGTGTATGTGAGGGAGATGAAGTGCCCAGAATAAGCTGCTTTATGAATATGCGGTTAATTAAAAGCACTTTGAGGGGTTTGTAGCACAGTATGAATGTAAGTACATGACCTGCCTATTGATGCGTGTAGTTTGTGCTCACAGGTACAATGTAACAAAATCTACATCCCACCTTATACTAATAGCACTACACTGATACATTGTAGACACAGCATAAAACATGGAAGCCTGCATTCTCTCTGAAGGCCACCAGATGGCGATAGTTGGGGGAAAAAACTCACTTTAAAAGCAGAGGCAAAGATGATTTCACACAAACTCACTTTTGACTGATTCCAGCTCAGATTATTCAGTTTCATTTCAGATTTACTCAAGAAGCAACAGGAAGCAACATTCAGGTTAAGAAAATTTATTTACAGAACAAAAACAGACTGTACAGGTGAGAAAGGGCCTTGATGCATGTTCAATCATCCAGGTAAGTAAATCTCCAAAAGTTGACTCCGTTCACCTGGACGTGGTGTTTTCAGTGGGAGAAACGTTTCGTCACTCATCCAAGTGACTGCAGGTTTCCCCAACCTTATAAACGGGACATTTACAAGCTACGTCCAGATGAACAGAACCAACGTTTTGGAATACAGGATAGAAAATATTTTTTATAAAAGAGAATTCATGTATACAAAAACCCACTCATTTTTTCATCAATAATAACGTAAAACAATAAAATCTGTACCAGGAATAATTTTAAAAGTGTATAAATAAACAGAAATAAATAAAAGCTCCGTGTAATTTAATATATACAAATATATATCATAGATGTCTCGTCTATTTAAACTACAGAAAAAGTCTGAGGCTTCAGCTCAGCAGGAGCAGAGGTCACGAGCTAACAGCTACACATACAGTAGAAACAGGACACGTCTGAAATTCAAGCAAACTAAAGAAAAAGAAGGAAATGTACGACATTAGTTCAATCTTCTTTTGGAATGAATCCATCTTTAAAACTGTTCAACACAACGTGATGAAATCGTTCACAAAGATGCTGAACAACAAATCCAGGATGTCCTCGTCTGTCTCTGCTCTGAGAAGCTGGAACAGCAGCAGGAGACTCAGATCAGCTGGAAGCCCTCTGAGACAGTTCAAGGAGGCGAATCCTGAATCCTGACTCTGTTTCTCTGTTGGACTGTTTGTCGATGTTT